TTGTGCATCCGTTGTCCACACTAAGGTTGAACATCTCCGTAGTAATTCTCGTAGCGGTTCAATGATAGAAGCATAATTGGGAATGAATTTTGCATACCAGGAGGTAAGACCCAAGAAGGAATGCAAGGTTTGCAAATCTGCTGGAGGAGGAGCATTTGAAATTGCCACGATATGATCTGGATCAGGTTTTAGTCCAGCCTGTGAAATTGTATGCCCCAGAAAGGAGAGTTCAGTTTCTCTAAATTTGCATCTGGACCTATTGAGCTTGAGGCCTGCTTTGCTGATGCAGTTTAATACAGACTGCAGGTTATTGTCATGCTCCTCAGTTGTATTTCCAAACACAATATCATCATCCAAATAGCATTGAACTCCATGTTGATTCTTCAGAAACAAAGACATTTTTTGGAAGGCACTTGGGGCTGATGCGAGACCGTATGGAACACGTTTAAAACAAAATAGTCCCTTGTGTAATAAATGCTGTGAGGTCTCAGCTATCTTCATGCAATATAACCTGGTGGTATGCGCTCTGCAAATCAAGAGTAGAAAACATCTTTGCTCCACGGAGTTCTGCAAATACTTCTATGTGAGAAAGAGGATGGTTGTCAATCACAATAGCTTTATTTGGCTCCCTTAAGTCCACACAAAGGCGAATGCCTCCACCCTTCTTCTGTGTCACTACTATAAGTGAAACCCATTCCGAGGAGTTAATCTCTTCAATAATGTCCTTTTGAACAAGTTTTCTAAGTTCCTCTGAAACAGCTTCCCTGACTGAAAATGGTAAGCGCCGTAATTTCTGTCGTACAGGCATCATATTAGTCTGCATTTTAACTTTATGCAGAAACCCATAAGCACAGCCGAGTTTCTCCTCAACCTGGTGTTGGGTCCCAGCTGAAACTAGTGTGTGTACCGCAAGAGTGCTTTGCTGAAGAAGATCAATTAGTCCATTAACTACCCTGAGATTTAAAGCAGCCAATAAATCTCTGCCAAGGATAGGAGTGCCTTTGTGGACAATATAGAACT